TGAGAGGGCAGCGTTACCAGAGTTGCCCATATACCACACCATGTTACAGCACAGTAGGGCTATTGCAGACAGAAACAATACTGTACTACATCGATGTTTCCTGTCGGCTCAATTTCTGAGTGGACTTTCATTATATATTTGTAATTTTATATTAGGGATGCACCGATACGGATACTGCGCTCCTGTACTTGTACTCATTAAAATGCCTCGATACCACACAGAGTGTGAACAGAGCTGTCCAGACAAAGAAACACCAACAACAGAGAGAATCATGGCGTTATTAGAGATTAAAGGGGTCATAGGATGCTACATGCACTTTTAGAAGTAGTTTAAACTGAAATGTGTGTTGGCAGTGTGTGTACACAACCACCCTATAATGATAAAAATCCACCCAGTGTTTTTTTAAAAATCTGGTTAAAAGTTTTCCCCTTTCTCAAATCGAGCCGATCTCAGATGCCTGTCTGTGTGACGTCACATTATATATCATTGCTTTTATTCTAAAAAAAATGTTTACATTACGTATTACTATTTTTGTTTTTATTTTATTTATAGAATTTATTTAGATTTTAGGTTTAAAAATTGCATCACATTAAATCGTTTGACGTGAGCTTGGTACTGCGGAGTTTTTCTTTGTCTGTCATAAAGACACTGTTCATGTAAAAGATGCATAAAACCAAAGCTATCAGATATGTATTTTTGTAAATACTTTGTAGATTTTACGTTTCCGAACACTCATTGCATGCATGATGTATTTAGTTGTTTTTTCTGTTTTGCAGCCTCGCAGTATTTATTTCAAGCACCGAACCGCTACATTTTCCACGGCGCCGAGGTCTACTCGAGCTCAGAGGACGAGTCGTCCAGTTCCTGCAGCAGTGACAGCGACGCTGTGGAAAATGAAGACAGCGACGTGGAGGAAGACAACACAGATAGCCTCGCAGAGACAGTACAGGAGCGTGAACACAAACGCCTTCAAACGGACTGCACCGCAGAAACAGACCTACCAAGCACACAATAACTCACTAGCACGTCTTGCAAGTCTTGTTTTATATATTTTTGTATTTCCTCTCTCCTAAACACCCCGTTATGTCTTCTAATGCATGCAACTATTTTCTTTTGTTCGGCTTATAACCCCTTTTTGTTTTATCACCATGCATTTTTAGATGTAAAATATGCATTTAATTCTGGTGAATGTTTCTGCCTGAGAGCCGTGAGCCATGCAATTGCTTGGGATGAAAAAGGGAATGATTTTCAAACCAAAGATCACTTTTTTTTTTTTTTTTTCTGTATCGTTTTCATGTTTTTCACAAGTTCCTTGTTGGATCTGGTCACTGTGTCCAGCAGGTGTGCACCAAACTGTGGCATTTTCAGACATTTGGCAGCCTACTGTTGAAGTCTTTTATACCCAGTAAAGTCTGGTAGTCATCAAACCGATGTTTTCCACTTGTTTTCAGGACATCATTTACATGCATTCACACTCTTGTAATTCCTGTCCTCAAGCACTTAGTAAGTTCTGAATCAGTTTTTGGTTGCGCTTGTTTATGTTGTTTGGTTAATGCTCTCATTGGCCAGTCTTTATAACACTGTTAAGTTATAATATCAACACGACTTCACGGTTCCCTCGTGCAGTGGTTGCAGTTTTGGTTGTATATTCTTAATCTCATTTCTTTAATGTTCAAAAAAAAAAAAAGACTTCATGTCAGATTTTGTTTACGTTAATGCGGATTGGCGATGATGCAAAAGAGTAAATGAATACTTTTTTTGTCATTGCACAAATGTAGCATTTTTGACTTATCACTCGCCCTTTAGCTCAGCACTGTACATGATGCATGCAGGGATGAATTAAGAATGATAGAGAAATATTTTGCTTGGTAATAAAATATGAAAGCATTTGCAGGATCAATCGTAGCTGTGTTTAAGTCGTGTAGGTTGTATTTACTGCATATTTTTTGAATGTTTGAATTATGAGGGCACATGTTTTCTATTTAAGTGGTTTATTAAAGCATATTGCAATTATAGTTTCAAGTTAAAGGATATAATAGATGACTAAAAGTCGTTAAAGAGCATCTTGATGAACCTGGGTTCCAGGCAATATAGCAATAAATTTACTAAGCAAATTACAATCCTTGATTAAATAACTGACATCGCAGCCTTATTTTGATGGAAAATGCCTGTTTGAATATATAAAGAGCTTTAAATTATATATTAGCATTGTTGCAGGTTAAATAAGTTATAGATCTGGCAAGTGTGTTGTTTAAAAAAGTCTATAACAAATCCATTAAGACTTACAGAACATTTTTATTAATAAAAATACATTAATAATGCCTAAATGAAATAGCATTTAATACATTTTGTGTTCATAAAAATTACTTTTTATTAACTTATTATTTTTGTATTAATTTACAATATTTAAAAAAAAAAATTTTTTTTTAAATAATGAATCATTTAAATTGTTATTTATATAGTTATAATATATATAACAAATCCATTAAGACTTACAGAACATTTATATGAATAAAAATATATTAATAATGCCTAAATTATTAATAAATTTTTTTATTAATAATTTATATTTTATTAACCATTTTATATTTTTTTATGAATGTTGTATTGTTTTTATATAATAAATCATTTAAATATATATAACAAATCCATTAAGACTTAGAACATTTTTATTACAATACAATACATTAATAATGCCGAAATTAAATAGAATTTAATACATTTAGTGTTCATAAAAATTACTTTTTATTAACGTAATAATTTTTTTATTAATAATTTACATTTTATTAACGATTTTATATATTTTTAATTAACTTTCTATTGTTAAACAAAATAATAAATCATTTAAATTATGTTATTTATATATTTAGAATATAGGTATAATATATAACAAATCCATTAAGATTAAGAGTATTTAATTAATTGCTTAAGATTTATTTTAAATGTCAGAAAATTGCAGAAGGAAAGGCAAGATTTTAAAAGGAATTTTATGTTTGATGGATAGCAAGAAATGGTCAAATGGATAAATAATACAATTAAATAAATACAATTAAATATTCGATATTTATGCCGAAGACGGACTCTTATTTTGCCATGCGAACTGTTGTTTTGACACGTCCGCCATGTAACGGAAGTCAGTGTCGGATCTCGCCTCGGATTGACAACATAAACAGGAGTGAAAGTGAAGCCGTAAACATGCGTCTGTCATCGATCAGCTGAAGCGGGTCTGAACCGACATGGACCGTTAGATTCTCTCGGTCAGGCGGCAGGATGGAGGAGATGGAGGAGGACGCGCCGGAGCGGATTGAGGATGAAAATCATAACTGTGGCGCGGAGGGTGTGAGTGTGAGCTCACCTGCGCAGGTGTGTGTGGATTCAGACTCCAGCAGCGACACCTGTGAGTCCGACAGCTCGGCCTCATCTGCGGCTAACGGCGCCGCGCTGCTCTTCAGCTCGACCTCCAAGTTCTGTAAGTTAACGTTACACCGCGGTACAGAGATGTGGCTGACGGTTTGTTACTTACGTACCATGGTAAATAGTTCCGGTCCTTGATTCTGATTGGCTGAGCCGCGTTCGAAGCTGTTGTAAATTACTCTACAAACATAACGTTACACCTTTGTTTGCGTTTGTGTGTTGCTCGGCAACCACTTTGTTGAAACCACAACTGTTTCTGAGGAGCTACATTGTTTGGTGGAAGAATACTGTTTTTATTAATATCATTACACTTTATTTGCTCTGTTTTATTTTGTGAAACCTTACTACGTATATGGAATAACCGTTTTATAAAAGCAATAACCCCGTGAAGCCGTGGTTTACAGTGAATTTATAACAGCTAAGGGGGTCGCGTCGTGCCTAACAACGCCCCTTAGCTGTAATAAATAGAGCCCGACCGATATGGGTTTTTTGGGGCCGATACCGATATTAGGGAGTTAAAAAAAGGCCGATACCGATATATCGGCCGATATTCTTTGTGTATATTATAGTACAGTACCAGTCAAAAGTTTTGACACTTTCCCATTCGTGTGTCCAAACATTTGACTGGTACTATATATAGAATACAGTATAT